TCCCGAAGCTTTTGAGAAGACTGCCTAGTACCGTGTTGCGTCTTTTGTCTTCTACAGTATCTACTTTGTTGTTTGAATATGTAATGTTTAAACACTTATGTAAAACTTATACTTACTATAATGCAATGGTTGTTTCTACTTTGATTACTATAATGCATGTGTTGTGATACTTACATGACGTCCTTCGCCCTCGAACATTTCCACCGTTCTTGTTTGGGGGTGTGACAGTATGGTACCCCGTGTTGTTTCTAACCAGCAAAGACCGACAGTTAGTAGTGTTGGACCAACTCCTTGGGCAACCGGTAGTCGTATTGAGTTCAAAGAAGTCCCTAAAAACATAAGAGTGTCATTGATCGCTACCATGCTACGAGGCATGCCATCTTCATGGTGGAAACAATTGAAAGTGACATGAGACAGACTCGAAAAGTCAAAGGTCGTGGATTGGAGGAAGGTGAATAAGTATTTGCGGTCCAACTTCCTACCCCATAATTTTTAAAGGTTAATGTACCAACGCTTACAGAATCTAAAGCAGGGTGCCAAGTCGGTTGACGATTATACAACTGAGTTCTACCAATTGATTGCCTGAAACTATATCCAAGAAACATAGGAACAACTTCTTGGTTGATATATTGGGGGTTTAAGGGTCCAAATCATGGACTCTCTAAATATGTTTGACCCGATATTTGTTTTTTAAGCACACCAACGAACATTGGCTTTTGAGAAACAAAATCATCGGGTGGGCTGGTCATCTTTAACTGCCATTGCTAAAGGAAGTTTTGGGACGGGTGGTATGGTACCACGTGTTGTGTCTAACCAGCAAATACCGACAGTTAGTAGTGTTGGACCAACTCGTAGGGCAACTGGTAGTCGCATTAGGAGTAGTAGTAGCTTGAAGTGTTTTAATTGTGGGGAGACGAATCACCGACAATCAGAGTGCAAGAAGGATGGAAAACGACATTTGTTTGCTTAGAAAGATGATTGGAAACATGAAGATGGTAGTGACAATTATGAAGATGCCCCTGTGTATGATGAAGGGCCTCAATTCGAAGAAGAAGTTGTTACTGGATATGTGGGGGTGAATTTGGTGGTGAGGTGCTCTTTTTTTACACCAAAAATAGTTGGTGATGATTGGCTCAAGCATAACATCTTCCAGTTGACATGTACTATTTTGGGCAAGGTTTGTACCTTTTTTTATTGATTTGGGAAATTGTGATAACCTTATATCAGAAGAAGCGGTTCAAAGGTTGGCTTTGGAAACATAAAATTTCCCCAAGCCTTACAAACTATAGTGGATTAAGAACGGTGGTGAGGTAACTATATTTAAACGGGCCCTTGTTCATTTTTCTATTGGTATGACATATAAAGATGATTTGTGGTGTGATGTGATTGCTAAGGATGCTTGTCATTTGTTGTTGGGCAGGCCTTAGGAGTATGATCGTAACATAGATCATAATAGGCATACTAATACTTACATTTTTTTGTTTGGTGGTGTGAAGATAACATTGGTTCCCAGTAAGGCAAAGGAACCAGTTTCTAAATCTTTAGGTACTCTATTGAGCCTTACCCAGTTCGAAGATGAGTTGGAGGCCGAAGGTGACATTTTTGTGTTGATAGGGAAAGAAGTGGTTGAGGAGGTTGAAAAACCTGAGGCTATGGTTCCTCTACTCAAGGATTTTTTTTATGTTCTCCCTAACAAATTACATGATGGATGGCCACCTTTAAATGACATCCAATACCATATTGATTTACAACTAGGAGCCCAGTTGCCTAATAGGCCACATTACAGAATGAGTCTCGGGGAGCACGAGGAGTTGCATCAACAAATGGAGGACTTAATTTCAAAAGGTCACGTCCGGGAGAGCATGAGCCCGTGTGCAGTTCCTACTTTATTGACTCTTAAAAAGGATGGTATTGGCATATGTGTGTTGATAGTCATGCCATCAATAAGATCACAATGAGGTACATATTTCTAATTCCTCGAACTAGATGACTTGCTTGAGTAGATTAGTGGTGCCACTATCTTTACGAAACTGGAATTTAAGAGTGGGTGCTATATGATTCATTTTAGACCACGGAATGAGTGGAAGACTGCCTTCAAGACTCATGAAAGATTGTATGAGTGGTTAGTGATGCATTTCAGTTTATCAAACGCTCCTAGTACGTTCATGTGTGTGATGAACCAATTGTTTAGACCCTTCATTGGTAAATTCGTAGTTGACTAATTTGATGACATACTTATTTATAATGCTACTTTTGGAGAGCATTTCATCCATGTACGATAAGTCTTATCCTTACTTTGCATGGATAGTTTGTATGCAGCTGGGAAGAAGTGTGTGTTGATGGTCCCTAAAGTCTTGTTCTTAGGGTATGTTGTTTCTGGGGAAGGAATACAAGTGGATGAATCGAAAGTAGCGGCTGTGAAATAGTGGCCAACTCCAACTACCATCACTGAAGGACGAAGCTTCAATGGTCTTGCTTCATTCTATAGGCAGTTTATTCCAAACTTTAGTTCTATTATGCCACTAGTGACTGATTGTATGAAAGGGAAAACGTTTACGTGGACCGAGGGAGCATAATCAAATTTCCAATTGGTTAAAGAGAAGCTTACTACAGCACCGATTCTTCTATTGCCAGATGTAACGACCCAAATTTTACCAAGAAATTTTTCATTTTTAATTAGTCAACCATTTTTCATAAAACATAGAGGTTCCAATAATTGTTTTCAAACCACAAGCATTACAAAATTATTATTTCCAAAACATCAGAGTGTCCCCCAAACCAGGTCGGAAAAGAGAGATAGAGTGCACGCCGCATCATCACGCCTTGCCTTTGCCCTTGGACTCCGATGGAGCTACAACAAATCCACAAACGGTAAGCTGAAAGCTTAGTGAGTCCCCCAGAGCATACCCCACACAAACCACGTATCACATTATCTATAAAGCAATCTCTACCACATATCCCATGTCAATTAGCCATGAGGTGTCTCTACCATTAGCCACAAAGGCTATCTCTACCATTAGTCATAAGGCCATCTCTACCATTAGCCATAAGGCTATCTCTACCGTTAGCCACGAAGGCTATCTCTACCACATATCATGCACAAATACATATCTCACCTCTACATAACAAATGAACCAATTATCACAAAATGGGGCGGCCTTGGTGCCTTAGACCCATTGGTATGGTGAGAAAACTCACCTCTCAAAGGCTGAACTGGCAAACTGTAGTCAGATATATCCCACGCTGCTCCTCCCAAACTGCCTATAATCAATGAGTAACTAACTCAGCATAATCCCATAAATACCCCCAGGGTCAACCCTGGTCAAAGTCAAATTCTATAGTCAAGGTTAACAGTCCATGTTGACCTTGACTCGTCGAGCACAATCATTCACTCGTCGGGTGCCCTGCTTAGCTCGTCGACTCGCCGAGTCACCCGAGAGACTCGTCGAGTCCCTTGGTGTGTACGGTGGTACACCTCTAACCGTAAACCCTTGACCGAACACCATTGGCCGTACACTCTTGGCCGTACACTCTTGGTCATACACTCTTGGCCGTAAACGAGAAAACCCTCTCGACTCGCCGAGTCACTTGAACGACTCGTCGAGCCCCCCCAAAGTTCATCATGATTTCGGTCCTTTCCAGTGGGACTTAAGGTCCCAAACTTTAGATCCATCATCTCCTATTGCAGATATCACGTAAAGTTGAAAACTTTACGTGCATGCATAGCTTCACATGGCCATAACAGCCAAAACTATCCTTCAAACAAGGTTCTTATGCATGGAGAGGGAATGAGCTCAATAAAAGATGCAACTTTATGATATTTGGGGCCTAAGAGAGTCCAGATCTGGAACCATATCCTTGTGATAGGTCAATATCTAAGCTTGCTTCTACTTCCTCAAAGTTGATCACAACTCTCAAATAGAATTTATGCTTAAGGTAACAGATTCATACCTCAAATCAATGCCCAAGACGAACTAGATGCTAGATCTAGTTTTTCCCCTTGATACTTCTTTTTCAAGCTTGGAATCCTTCCCAAAATCCCAAGGATAAGCTCCCAATTGATCTTGCTTCACTTACAAGAGAGTGTGCGGCCGTAAACGTCTTTCTATGGTGCTAAGGGGGGCTACTGAGGCGTATAATGACGTTTATATAGGGGGCAAACCCAAAATTTAAGGTTTTCTTTAAACAGCTCGGACTCGCCGAGTCGGACGTCGACTCACCGAGTCGGTCCCGTTCCGCGTTTCATGATCTCATGACCCTACTCGACGAGTTGACCTCTCAACTCGCCGAGTCCATGCATAAACCCTTTCCAACTTAAACCAGGTGTTACACCAGACTTTTCTCAAGTTTTGAATTACATATGGATGCTTCCAAGGTTAAGATTGGAGCAATTCTCAGTCAAGCGGGGCGATCGATTACCTATTTTAGTGAGAAATTGACGGGACGAAAGCTATGTTATAACACTTATGATGTTCAATTCTATGCAATGGTCCAACCTGTAAAGCATTGGTGCCATTATCTATTTCATAAGGAGTTTGTTTTGTTTACAGATCATCATTCTTTAAGACATACTCGCAGTCAAGATAAGGTGTCATATAATCATGTGAGGCCGATGTCGTTCTTGGAAAAATTCAATTTTGTGGTGAAACACAAGTCAGGAATGTCGAATTGGATGGCTGATGCGTTAAGCACTAGTACAAAAATACACTTTAATGACACGCAATGCGTGTCGTAAAATGATCAGACGACACGCAAATGCGTATCAAGGACGGCCTTGTCATAATGAAAGACGACACGCTTTTGCGCATCGTAAACTTACGATGCACATTTATGACGTTCCTTTATGACATGCAATGCGTGTCAAGGAATCCCCTGTCATAAAGGAAGACGACACGCCCTTGCGTGTCGTAACCGTACGACGCATGTTTACGACTCGCATTGCGTATCATTAAATCCATTGTCATAAATGAAGATGACATGCATTTGCGTGTCATAAATTTCAGCTACCAGTGACGATACACATTTACGATGTGTATTTACGATACACATTTACAACGTGAATACACATAATAAAAAAACAAATATACCAAAACATTCAATTTCATCTAAATGTCAAACAAGTTACCTAACATTACATGTCAAACAACACTACATGTTAACACTAATAACACTTAAAAACATGTTTTTTCCTGCATTTGGAGCACCCACTATTCCTATATCAGCAACCAACTTTAGGTCCAATTCCAACCGCCTGTAAAAGAACAACATTAGAAGTGATTATTGATTCAGTGTTATGGAAATTGATTGAATGATTTAAAATTTTGAAAGTGATCCTCGAGAGAACAGGTGCCTTAGCTTTGACAGCATGGAGATAATATTAGTAATAAGTTGGAAACAATATTAATATTTAATACCTTTCTCTGGGTGATGACCATCGATCAACCTTCCATCATAAAATGCCCTCCATATACTTTAGCAGATTTTGGAGCTCCTTTTAAAGTGAGTCCTCCGAATGTGTTCACCTTCACAAATAAACAAATAAACTTCATAAAGACTTGATAACTTGAACATAATGGCAAAAGAAATTGTTCATAAAACAAAGAAATCATGCAAGTTTTCTAAATATGTCTCAAGGTTCATCAAATGACTATTGTAGGGTAGCATTAAGCAAGTCAGATGTAAGTAACCATACTGAAAGTGTTAAGCTTTCTGGAGCTGTGATAATGTTTTATTCCAGGTCAGCATGTCATATAGAAAAATACTTACAAGTTACAAGGAAAGCATATAACTTATCATAGTCAAAGTAATCACATATTGACCACCAGATTCACCTGCAAAATAGCCCTATGCTTTAAATATGCCAGAAAAAAAAGTCATTAATCTATACACAATCAAGAAAACTATCTATATTAAATAGTCTCACTTTGGGTGAAGTAATCATTGGTTGTTTCCTTTTTTAACTTTACAGATCAACAAGAAACTCAACATAAACTAGCAGATAATAAGAAATAAAAAAAGACAAGAATGCCCTTGCTGCAGATTCTTTAATCGAAATATCCTTAGACCTAATAAAAATCCTTTATTTTTTCTCATTTTTCCTTTTTTATTCCAATAAAACAACCCTGGAGCTGAAACCCATAAAACATCTTGAAGCTTTTATGATGCAGAGGTAAAAATTACTGATCCAAATCTAATGCATGTCAGATCCAAATCTAATGCAGGTATGAGTTATCCAGATATGGTTTCTACTTGATATTGCGTGAATGCTATATTTTACATATGCCCTACAAAAAGAAGAAGCATGTTGTTATAGAAGAGACAAATTTACAATCAACTGGAACAACATTATTCTTATTCTAATTCCATAGTTCCCCAATATACACAGTTAGACATAGTTATCATTTCTAGTTGATTTTAACACAAATAAGAAATTAGTTGTCTCATATATATATATATATATATATATATATATATATATATATATATATATATATATATATATATATATATATATATATATATATATATATATAGCATAAATAACAAATAAGTCACTGCATAGTCATATACCTTCTTGTCTCTTAACTTCTTCCACAAACTGAGTTCCTCACGTTTCCGTCTTTTTCTCTGTGAAAGATATGATGCAAAGATATTGATCAAAAAGAAATCTCTTTATGTAAAGTTTTTACATTTTTAATAATTTAATCAATAAAAAGCAATTAATGTGTTATATATTATAAAAAAAGAGTGAGAAACTCACCGCCATCCACCTACACCTGAGAGCAACATCACGGACAGTTTTATTACGCAATGTGGCAAAGTGAACCCACTACAGCAAAATATATACTTGAACAAGGTCAAGGGAATAAATGTAATTTTTCTAATTTTGAAAATGTAACACAAAGTGAACCCACTAAAGCAAAATATATACTTGGGAAGTGCTTCCTCTAGTTTATGGCTGTAAGGAAGTCTTTAAATGCCTAATAAAGGGTTCTACAAAACATAATATACTCTTGGGTTCTTCCCTCTTGGGCCCTGTGATAGTGTTTGAACCTTATGTCTATTCATCAATAAAACACACAATACATTCAATTCTTGTGTAATTTCTATTTATCAGATATAAATGAAAAATAAGACAAATACAAATAACATATCCCTGTAATTGTACAAATTTACCATACTTTTCAAACAATATAACAGATCCATATGTGTGTGTGTTTGGAACTAAATCTAATATTTGAACTACATCCAAGCTTTTTCTGCTTTGTAAACAATGGTAGTGAGGGTGGTTATGGCAAAAATGTTGATTCTCTCTATAACATGTAAAACCCATAACAATGAAAAAGGAAATAATAAAATTAGAACTTTATCATGAAATCTATCAAGAGAGAAGAGAGAGAAAAAGGAGAGATTTTCAGCTTTACCTTTTCCAAGTTTGGTTAATTTTTATAAGAAACGAGAGAGAGATAGTGTGGTAATGGCTGCAAACAGAAGTGCTAGTGGTTTGTGTATGTGAGCGTTCGTAGTGGTATTTGGGTCTCTGTAGCTTGTTGAACGCAGATCAGGTGATCAATGAGTGCAAGAACTCAAAACCTTCTTCTAGAAAACATAAATCGAATTAGGGTTCTTATCTGGTATTATCGGAGGGATGAACCACCGCCACACACCAACACCTCCAAAATCTTGTACAAAAAAATTGAACGAAACCATACCAGATCGATGATGGTAGTTGATTCCAGATGAACCAATGGTTTAAATGTAAAAAACTAAAAATAAAGGTCAAGAAAAAAAGAACCTTTGCAAGGAACGTAGATTAGGGAAGAATGAGGTCGATAAACAATCAAACTTATGGTAATATTTCCCAACATATACCCAATTCATCAAGAAATCGAAAAACTTAATGATAAATGTAAAACATCATATCGAAAATCAAAGGATGATAGAGAGAGGAGAGAGAGCGGTAGAGAGAGAGACTTCGTTGTAATCCAGGAAGGATTTATGGCTGTAAGGAAGTCTTATAACAAGGAGGAGAGAGTGGTGGAGAGAGAGTGAATTCTGGAAGCTAATTGTTGGGTATTAGATGTTGCTTCGTTGGGCTTAAAATATTTAGTCCAACTTGTACACGGTTTTGGGACTGTTCATCCGTCTCATTTATTAAGGTTTATGTATTTATAGTGCATGCATGCACCGTAGGTTGATAACGCTTTTGAAGTTCTTTTGTAAACCCTAATCATGCTTTTGATTTGAAGTAATCTTTTGTAAACCCTAATCATTAAGCATACATTGATTCATTGCCGTGATCTTCTTTGTTTTCTGTTTTTGAATCTTATCGATCATTAAGGATTTTATCCCAACAATTGGTATCAGATGAGGAGATTGTGTAATTTATACGCATCCCTTCTGTTAAAAGAAGCTACTAGGGTTAATGTTAATATTGGATCCTGCTTAGTCGTCATCTCTAGGTTCTTGACGTTGTGATCTCAATATTACCCTAAAATTTTACACGTCTGATTCTTTAACAGGATGCAAAGATCTTGTCAAAATGTCGCACGACAAATCTCAGATCAATTCCATCAGCAGTATTGGGTCAACAACAAGGATTCTCATCCTCTTTCCCAGCGAATATGAAGTCTGGGCACTTCACTTTGAAGACTATATTCTAGGGTTAGAAGATAATGGTTATTTGATCTGGCAAGCTATCACTATTGGAGCTTTTGTTCACTCTGGAACAAAAAGGGAGATTAAAACTCAGTCTGATCTCAATCGACTTTTTCTTGATGTCAAGGAAGTTCCTCAAGATGAGAAAGAAAAACTGTAGAGCAACATCAAAGCAATGAGAATCATCATATTCGCATTACAGGCTGATACATTTCGTCTTGTTAGTTCTTGTGACACAACCAACGCCATATGGGAAAGGCTTAAAGAGGTTTAATCAACAGATGCAGATCTAGAGCATTCTACTCAAACGCTATTGCTCTCTGAATTTGGTGCTTTTGTGCAAAAGGCTGAAGCAAATCATAGTCAAATGTTTAATCGCTACAATCATCTTTTGAGTAGGATGACAAAACATGGCATTGGACATGAAATCATCGATCAAAAGGTAACATTTATGAATGGGTTAAGGTCTGAATGGATGGCGGTGGTATCAACGGTGAAAGCTCACGAGCAGTTCTGAAATTACATGAAAGCAAGGTGACTAAAGAAGCAAAAGTTGTGTCTAGCATGGGTACATTGGCTCTGGTTGCAAAGCGGAAGCAAATTGTTGAGGATGTAGATGAGATTAATCTTTCTGATATTGAGCTCTCAAATTAAGAGTTCCCTCTAATGGTATCGAATCCCAGAAGATTCGCAAAGAAGAAGTTTCCCTCCAAAAACCGAAACTGGCAGGGAAGCTACAATTCAGAAAAAGGGAAGGAAGAGAAAGTGAATAGCTTCCGGAAGGAAGAAGAAAAGAAAGAGAAATTGCTTGCAGGTGATTCAGGCTATGACTTCAACTATTGTCATGGCAAGAATCATTTGGCTAAAGAGTGCATGTTGAGGCGATTGAATGAGAAGAAAGAGGGAGAATATGATGAGGCCTATTATTTTTGCAAGCTTGGGGAAATCAAGCAGGAAAGAAAGCTGATGAATCGATGCCTGCTTTGATTGTACAGGGTAATAATGATGATGATGAATTCGGTGGAATGGAGGTATGGTCCACTGATTTAGAGGATGAAGAGGTTAGAAGACCCACTCATGGAATGAGCTTTGTGGCGAATGAAAAGGATTCGTAGATGGGCAGAAAGTGTTTTATGGTGACAAATGACGTGTCACAAATGCGAGGGTATGCAACAGATGGAGGACAAGACGAAGCGAATAGAAAAAAGGATGATAGCTGCTTCACTGCGAAGCCAATTCTTGCACAAATCAGCGAATGTGATCAGCTGATTAATAAGGTACATTCCATTCTTGAATCTCTTAATGTTCCTGTATCTAATTATGAAACTGAGTTAAACGATTTAAAATTCACCTTTTCAAGTATAAGTGAAAGTTTAAAACAAACTCGCCTAACAAACTCTAACATAACCGATCAAATCAGCAGGATGTCATCAAAAAGTGAGGAACGAAGGATATGGATAGAGAAGATATAGTCTGAGCTTTCTAGGTCTAGGGACGAGTCTATTTATGTACAGCGAGACAATTTAAAGATTTTAAAACAACGTAACATCTTTTGTTTGATTGCTAAGAGGCTTTATTTTAATATCACTTAATTGCATTTGGATTGTGAAGCTGGTAAGAAAATTCATAAAATGATCTTGCCATTTTTGGAATTAAAGGGAGATGAAATTGATGCTGATTGTTATCAATGTGAATCCATCTTCTCATCGGACGAAACCTCAGAGGCTTATAAAATTGGACTTGACAAAATTGACTCATATATTCAGTCTAAGGACCACAAGGACATGCTGAGACACTTACTCGATGAAAATGACAGGTTAAAGATCAAAATCGAAACTGTACATAAATTTGATTCATTGAGTTCGAAATTGAGTTCAGACAATAAATTAAATGTTGAAAATTTTTCTGAATTCGATGAGGACAGTTGAACGAGTGAAATATCTGTAGAATATGAGGTTGACTGCTCGTAGTTCCTTAAAAACGAACCTGAAAAAGCGAAGGATCTCATTTCAGAAAATTTGGTTGAATTCACAGGACATTATCAAAACAATCCAAAGGTTCTAAAGGAAGTTGCAACTATCTTTCCAAAGGTTCAAACGACACCTAACCAATTTTTTGCAATCAATGGAGTGTCTAAAGGTCAAACAGTTGAACTAACATCCTTAGTCGAAACTGATAATGTTGATGGGTGTGATGAGCACTTCTGGTCCACCCCGATTGACAATTTAGACGAAACAGTAGGTCTATCTGAGAAGACCTCTTGGAGAGTTAAATGGAGGTATGTAGCTGAACCTTTAAACAAGGTTAACACCACCTATGAAAAGGGAAGTTCAAGTGGAACCAAAGATAATCTCACCAGTAACTCCTCAGTTCAAGAAAACACTCATGTGCGAAAATCAAGGGCAAAAGCGAATGTTCACAAATCTCCTGAACAGTTCACATCACAAAAACGTCAACGAAACGCGAGATACTAAAAAAATATGCAGGAACGAAAGCAGTTTTGGAAGTCAAGAAATCCAAACTATGTTCACCATGAAAAGCGTTTCAATCCTCAAACGAACGTTGAATCAAATTCTAATTCTAAAAGCCAAAAATTCTCTTCAAACGCGAATCCAAAAGGCTTCTCATCTCATAAGTCTCACAACCCTTAGGATCCAAGACATACAATTCATCATCGATCTTCTGTCTCCAAACCATCCTATCCTTCAAACCATAAGTCATCCCCAAAAACACCTTCGTTTCCAAATCTGGAGTTACGCACTCTTCCACCTCCTCGCGACACGATAAAGGGAAGGCAAAGATAGTTTCAGAGTCCCACACTCCTTATAGATCTAAGGAGGAAGAGCGAAAGTTTGTTAAAAATCAAATTAAAAACAAACGAACTTGAAAGAAGCGAACCAGAAAGATAATCGTATCAAGGTTTTCACAATAAAGTAGAAAGACCAAACCACCTTAATAAAACGAACTTTTATGGTTGATCTTTCTATTGTTTATCCTGTTGTTGCAAAAGGCTCACAAGGACCCAAACACCTTTGGGTTCCTAAATCTTCTTAATTTTTGCAGATTATATGTGAAGAACAGTTTGACACTGAATGGTATATCGACAGTGGCTATTCATGTCACATAACATGAAGAAAAGAGAAGTTGAGAGAATACAGGGAACTGAAGAATGGTGGTCTCGTGAAGTTTGGGAATAATGCACTTGGGGAAATCAAAGGGTATGGCATGATAACGAATGGCGAATTCTCAATTCAGAAAGTGGCATATGTTGAAGGACTGCAACACAACTTAATAAATGTTTCGCAGTTAGTGGTTGGTACTGGGTTAAAGGTCTCGTTTGACGATGAAGGATCTGAAATTATTGAAAAGAAGTCTAAAACAGTGCTGCTTAAATCAAAACGCAAACGCGAGATGTATCCATTGAATATCAATCTGATACGAGGGAAGCCTTCTATCTGTCTACTCACTAAATCTTCTTTAGAAGATAGTTGGTTGTGGCATAGGAGATTTTCGCACCTCAACTTCAAAGATATCAACAAGCTAGTTCTTGGTGATCATGTGCGAGGTCTTCCTCTCTTGAAATATGACAAGGATCATCTCTGCGCTACCTGCGAAATGGGGAAGCAAAGCAGGAAAAGTCATCCAACTATAGTGAACACGAAGGTTCTTGAGCCACTCGAACTGCTTCACATCGATCTTTGTGGCCCATCTACAATCGAAAGCATCAGCGGTAACAAATATATTCTTATTATTGTAGATGATTTTTCACGTTTCACTTGGGTGTTCTTTCTTTACCAGAAATCTGAAGCAACTCCTAAGCTCCAAGACTTTATCAAGCAGATTGAGTTACAGCTGCCAATCTTTATGAAGAATTCATGCTTTTATTTGACGAACCAGAGAAGGCCATCACTTCTGAAGAAAAGGAAGCTAATAATAAGGTTGATGAATTGGAGAAGATAATTGATGATGCTGCAAAAGACATGCACAATCAGCCATCAACAACGAACATGCCTCAAGACACGAGCACTTTATTCCAGGGGGAGAACTCTAACTTCAATGCAAGTCCTCAGGGGGAGCAACCTACTCCACAAGAAATGAACACCTCATCACCGGAGGAGGGTTACACTTCGTCCCTTTCTCTTGATCCACCCACTGATTCGAATGACTCTCTTCTCACAATGTCTCTTGAACCTCCACTCACAGGAGATACTTCAATTCCTGAA